CGGCCCCGCCGCCTCCCGGCCTGACGTCAGCGCCCCCCGGCCCGGCCCGGCCCGGCCCGGCCCGGCGCCGCCGACATCTTGGCCCGGGAGCCGCGAGGCTGCACGAGCCCCCCCGGGGGTCCCCGCGGCTCGCGGGGCACTTGTTGCAGGAGCGGGGCTGGGGCGCGTGAGGATGGGGAGAACCCGGCGCACGTGGCGTGGCAGCCCCCCGGCTGCCCGGGGTCCCCCGGCCGCTCTCGGGTCTGCGAGCCCTCACACACGACCGGTGCTGGGCTTTGTGGCCTCTTAGTGGAAGCTCTTGGCAAGTTGCTTTGTCTACGGGAGGCCCCTCGGAGCCAGGCCCCGTGGTGATCAGGAGGTGACATTTGCTGTTGCCTCCAGCCCCACAGCTGCCTGGCACCACCGTGGCGGCCCGATGCCCGGCCAGGAGGGCTGCGTGTTCCCACGGGCCCTGCAAGGTGGCACAAGCCCTTGGTGGCCCGGCTGCCCTGGGCTCCCCGCTGCAACAGCAGTGATCCAAGAGGATCCCCACCCATTCCTCCCGGCTCCTTCGCACGCTGACGGGGATCGGGGCCAGCCCGTGAGGATGCCCTGTGCGGGGACATGCTCCCCGTTCCTCACCCCAGCTTGGCGTGCTGCATCACGGCGCTCTTGGAAGAGCACGGCCATGACAAGGTTGCAGGCGGGAGGCCATGGAGAGAAGAGCCGCTCCAACAGGCAGCTCCGACAGTGCAGCACTCGCGGGCAGCTTCAGGGCACTCGGATTGCACTGGGGCGTGTTTAGAAGTGGTGCGGGTCACACGAATGTGCCAAGCCCCCCAAGGGACCCATGTGCTTAGCAGCGTGCGGAGGGTCAGCCAGCCCTGCCGAGGCGCTTTGTGCCCGAGCGTGTTTGCCCCGACTGTTGGAGCGCATCGTGGTGCACGGGGCAGTTTTCACTGTCCAGATAGATCCGCAGCAGGGGAGGCCTCGGCAGCCCCAGGCTGAGTGACCTGCCTGCCACTAACCACTGCTCAGCCAGAGGGGACAGCCGCTCGCCTGCGCTGTGTGCGCCGAGCAGAGCCGAGCGGAGCCGAACGGAGCCGAGTGGAGCCGAGCGGAGCCTCCCTTCCCCAGCCCAGCACCTGGCCAGGACCCTGCGGAGGAGCTCTGGAGGACAAGGGCATTTCCAAGCGGCTTTGGCTGATTGAAATCCACACACCCCTGCTGAAGGCCAGCTCTGGGAGACATGACTTGGCTTTCAATGGGAAGAGGCTCCAGGCTCTCAGCCCGGGATTGTCCAGCCCAAATGTGTGAACTGAGCTCATTGTGCTGACTGGGAGGACAGAATATGGGAGAGGGGCTTGAGATCTCTGGCCTGTAAGGGAAACAAGCTGGAGAGAGAAGGAGCCCATCCCCAGGAAAAGCAGCCGAAGCTGCCGCCTCGAGTCACCAGAGCAGCCAAGAGAAGAAGCCTGAGGGGCTCAAGGGGCTCTTGACAGCACTGCAAGGCCTGGCTAGGGCTCCAAACCTCTGTGTGACTCTGATTCACAATGTTTCCAAGGGGCAGGTGCTGGCGGCAGAGCGATAGAGCTGAATGATGCAACTCTCACGGTGCAATAAGGGACCAAACAGAAAAGAAAAAGTCTTCTCGCACCGAGGTCACTCCTGCCTGGGAAGTGGGGCCATTACCGGCCCCCAGTACAGGGCAGCGCGTGCTTATCCAACTGCTCTGCTCCCCTCAGCAGGCCCTGTGCTGGCGCAGGGGCCCCCAGCTCGAGCCTCCTGGGGCTCCGTGCAGCCCTCGTGCCCTCAGCAGGGCTGTCTTCCTGCCCAGACCCCACGCCAAGCGGCTGGTGAGTCTCTTGGCTCATTGGGATGACCGGGAAATGGTCTCCCAGCTCCAAGTACAGCAATTGCTGCCCTGTGTTTTTTGGGGGGGAAATAAATCAGCCTCTCCCAGGTCCAAGGTGCAGATACAGGCAGTGAAGAAGCAGCAGGGAGAAAATCCAGCCAGGTACCTGAGTGCAGCGTTTGGAGGGACCTAAATCCTTGGCAGATCTAGCCTGGCCCGGGAGCTGGGGAGCTCTCACAGGTGGGAGCGGGATCAGAGGAGCTTTGATATCCATGCACCTCCCCGGCTGCTCTCCCCAGCCTGCTTTGCAAAGCCTGGCCTGGCCCATTGACATGATAATGCTGTTAAACTTCAGCCATTGGCAAAACAATCAGTGCAAAGGGGAGTGCTGGAAACACCACGCAGCCAGTGTCCTCCAAAGGAGCAGGGACAGGAGCGAAGATGGGCTGACCCTGAACCCCTCTGCAACCTCAGTCCAGTTAGGGCTCCTCGCTCCATTTGCCCACCCATTGCTGTTTAATCCCTGGGTTTGGCAAGGAGGTGGCGTCTGCTCAGCTGTCCTGGCCGTTGGCTCCAGCCCGGCTCCTGCTCCAGCTCTTGCAGCTGTGCAGTTGCTGGCCCCTGCTCCGGCTTTTCCAGCTGGGAGGGCTCACAGTCCCTTTTCGGGTGCTTGGTGCCACAGCATCCCCTCAGCACACACACACAGGCTGGGATTCCCTCATTAGGACTGTTCATTAGCAGCGTTAACGGGGCATTTTGAGTGGTTAGCAATCTGCCTGTACTCTGCACGGGCGCCTGCCAAAGCTGCTGGAGTCATGTTGGTATTAATTACGAGGAAATGATCATGTTCCCGGGGCTGGCCCAGTCTTCACAGCAGCTGGGTTCGTTATTTCCCTGCTGATGGATTGAGTGGGAGCCTCAGGCTAGTGCTCTCCTTCACCCGGCTCCACTAGAGCTTTAAAGGCAGATTTAAAAGTGATCAGAGCCTGCTCTGATTGGAGGCTGGGGGTTGCTTTAGAGTGCTTGGGAAGTCCTGTGCCTGCCAGCGGGGTAGTGATGAGGATCAAGTGTGGGGGATACACCCGGGTCCCCAGCTGTGCCTGCTGCAGTGCTGCGAGTGCAGTGCTGGGGCTGCAGCGCTGCGAGTGCAGTGAGTGCAGTGCTGGGGCTGCAGCGCTGCGAGTGCAGTGAGTGCAGTGCTGGGGCTGCAGCGCTGCAAGTGCAGTGAGTGCAGTGCTGGGGCTGCAGCGCTGCAAGTGCAGTGAGTGCAGTGCTGCGAGTGCAGTGCTGGGGCTGCAGCGCTGCGAGTGCAGTGAGTGCAGTGTCGGGGCTGCAGCGCTGCGAGTGCAGTGAGTGCAGTGCTGGGGCTGCAGCGCTGCGAGTGCAGTGAGTGCAGTGCTGGGGCTGCAGCACTGCGAGTGCAGTGAGTGCAGTGCTGGGGCTGCAGCACTGCGAGTGCAGTGAGTGCAGTGCTGGGGCTGCAGCGCTGCGAGTGCCGCGCCGGGGCTGGCGGCAGCCTCGGCACGTGCTCCGGCGGCGCCTCCGCGGGAGCCTTGCTGCTCTGCCCAGCTCCATCACAGGGAGCCCCACGCG